TTTTTGAAAAAGATCCCTGAGCTATACCATTTAATATAGGCTTTACTCAGGTCATCAATTAAATTTTATTGAAGGTTAATTCTTTAAAAGTTGTTCGTAAGATTTTTTTTCCATTCATTCTTTTTTAATGTGATTATTTTCAACTTGGAAACATTTTTAAACTGCTTCCAAAAACTATAATGGAGTCATTGTTCTCTTTCCCGTGCAACAGTAAGCATTGAAATGCGTCTTAAAGGGGAAATATCAGAATTTATCAAGAACTGATAACGGCTTGGATCGTTATGCTGTTTGTTTTATGTGAAAATAATTGGAGAGGAGGGCAGTGCTGAAGAGAAAAGGGAACAGAAGAGACGCAGGAATATATGTGCATTATAACCACAATACACGAAGACACTTATATAATGAAATAGTAAATCTTATATAATTACCGCGCTTATTGTAACGACGCTAAATGTACTGACTTCTGCACCATAAACTGCCGCAGCGTTGAGTGTGCATGTGTGTGTAAACAGATACATTGATGTTAAGCAATGATGCGCGAGGCTGCACTTATTGGTGGACCTCACGCATCATTCGAGTCTGAGCCCGCGCTCGGTACAGATCAAAGAAGAGTTAAGCGTTTTCTTAAAGCGAATGAGGTTGAGACGAAAAAAAGCGGGAAGGTGAGAGTAAACAAGAGATTAAGAGGAAGGCTGCCAGTAATTTCTCCAGCCTACCAGCTCCATCCTCGTGTTGCCACCGTACCCGAGGCCACCTTCTGAACAACTCGAGCCAGACCCGCTGCATAAAGATCTCCTCAAGGACAACCACGACTGAGCTGACATTGAGACCACCCGGAGATCAAGCCCAGCAGTGATGACCGTGCAGGACGGCCCCAGGAGTGACTAAAGCGTAAGAGAAAGAGAGAGAGAGAGAGTGCATGTCGCGTGTTGTGCCTCGTGGAAAGCGCCGATCGTGCCGAGAACTCCGGGCATGGACGCTCACGTAACTGTTTCGTGATGAATAAAGTGATCGTTGTAATTCGAGAATTTCGCTTCACCGTGTTATTGTTTGTATGCCATTTTCGGACAGCGGTATTAATAGGTAGAGTCCATCGTTTCTCCCTAGGAGAGCAGCCTGCTTCCCAAGGGCCTTCCCCTGGCGGGACCTCCTCTGCGAAGAGAGAGTCGAAGAGACAAGCACTGTAATCTAAGGGAATAAGTTTCGCATTTCAGGAACGTGTAGACATCGACGAGTGGAGATAACTTTCTTTAGTCATTGTTTCAAGACTGCCCTGGCCATGACATTTAAGTGTCTCAGGTCACGAAAACGCCACGTCACAAAAGTTTTTATTAATTTAAATGATAGTTTAGATACGATTCAATTACTGACCCCCATTAAGGCCTACGTTAAATTGTAGAATTTAATGAGCTTCTTTTTCGAAATAACGTTTGAAAAAAATATTAAATAAGTACACTCTGCTAAAATGTTCTTAAAAAGTACAAAATTTTTTGAGCGTTTGAAATTTTTTATTCTTTGTCGGAACCTCCTTAAAACATCTTCCTTACTTAAAAACTAGACAGCACACTCTCAGCACGTTAATGCATTTTTTATTACCTAGAAAATCTTGAAATAACGAACTTCGATTATATAACAATGGAACCACTAATACAACGCTTGACTTAGCAAAAATCCAGACTTTCCTAAAAGACCACACAGATTTTTTTAAATCAAAATAAAGACTTTTACCTGTATTAAATTTATGCTTATCTTTTCTCAACCGTTAGCTATTTTTACTCTATTATTTCAAAGTATAGACCTATAAACCGCAATAGTCAGTGAGCTTATGGCCGCTGTTGAGACCGCTTCTCTCACAGCGAGCATTTATGATTAATTTATGTTAATGTATTTGTACATAGTTATTTGTATCCTGATAATTTGTTAACTGCTGATCTCGATTACTTTTTGTGGCAATTTTTGTCGCAGCATTACTTCCCGGCGCAAACACAGTGGTGGCCCACACTTGCCAAAAATCTCTGATTTATTTTAAGAGCAAATTTTAAGAATTTCAAGGTGCTCAATTAACTAGATAAGTTTAAATATAACGTATCATTAACCAAACCAGTTATTTTTTAATAAAACAATAATTTATGAATTTTACAACTATTTACGCTCAATTTTTATCTATTGCAACAGGTTGATTCATAAAGTCTACAAAAGAGAATGAAGTCTTTTATTTTGAAGTGAAAGGTAAGGCGAGTTAAATGTGTTTGATATCTATTGAAAAAAAACATGACTACAAAAATAATGATAAAGTACATTGGTATCTGGCACAGTAGTCAGTTTAATGACAAAAACCGTGATAATATTAAGTGCCTTTTTAAAGATGTATTGTGTTTTTCATGGTACTTATTCAAAAGTATTCAACAAAATGAAAAATTTGAAAAATAGTAAGATTAATAAAAATATTCTAGTTTTTTGCAACATTTAATCTTTCTCACTTAAAATGATTTTATATTGAAAACAATATTTTTATAAAGTAGTGTAAGTTAATCAAAAATTTAAAAAAACGAAATTAAATATTATTTACAAAGTAATGAGATCAACAAAAAAAAGTCAAGTTTTTTATACACCATTCTAAATCCATATAACAATTATTAAAATACTTAAATAAGGTAAATATTTTATAACAGAGAAAAACATGTCAATATTTTGCAAAACTATTGAATCTGTATAATTTACCAGTCTGCTTAAGTTTCGTAAAAAATGTTGAAGTTATGAATGCTTAAAAATTGAAATTGTAAATGACAATTTTTGCACATTTTTACACTATAACTTTGCAAAAAAACGGTTTGGATAATCAAACCAACGCAGATTGATAGATAATTTAAATAAAGAACTAATTATTTTGGTTTTTTTCAAATCTGACTGCAAGCAAAAAAGTTACAATCGAAAGATTGAAAAAAAACTGAGTTGTTTTTTTTAGTATTTGATAAAAATTTAAGGACACCCTTTGGTTTGACAAAACTATTAGTCCCAATAATGGGATCATATTTTAAGGCGATGAAAACACGTTTCTCGTTATTACCTCACTTTGGCTTATTCGCTATTTTTCTATGCCTTGCTCACCCGGTTGTTTGTACATGACGTTACGAGTAATATAAGCCTCATCTCAAGGGTGTGCCGTCAATTAAAAAAAAACATTTCTTTCAAATGGATGACATGTTTGGCAGAAATTTCAGTAGATTTTTTCATGTATGATATCAAATATTTTTGTCATTATAATTAATTAAAAAATGGACAATTTGTAGATCATGAATCATGTATCAATAACAGCTTAAGATTTTGAATTGGCATTAACGAAAAGTAAGGTGGCTTTTAATTTAAATTTTTAACTATTAACAAGCTTTTATTAATCATCAATGAAGAAAAACCTGCTCAGATTTAAATCCACATTCCTTAAAAATAAGTCCATACTTGGTCTTTAATACAAGTAGTACTTTTTATCTGTGTAGAAATCTTGGAAAAGTAAAAGACTACAAAAAGCTTACGATTGACTAAACGATCAGCCATAAACTAAAAGTGCCTCTGAACTAGTCTAATGGTATTTGAATGAGTGTGGCAATGACTTCACAACTCTGCTGGGTTATGAGTCATTAAAGGCTAATCAACCATTTCTACTTTGTGGCTCTACAAAGTCGACTCTATTTATATTTCATCAATTTTTACGCATTTTTAAATTTCCTGTGCATAATAGTATGAATACTTTTATTATTTGGCTATCGATACATATGATTACGATAATTTTACTTTTCGTATTCTTTTAATATAATTACTATACCAAAGTTTTCTTATTAAAAAGCAATGTTTATCTCAATAAAATCCAAAAAATGGTAACATTTCATTGAAAATTTTTTACTTTTCAAAAGTAAATTGAATTTTCATGAATTGTTGGAATTTGAATTTATGTTTCAATGTTTAATTAATAGCATAAAACATTAGAGTTTTCAGTTGTATCCCCAGTTTTAATTAAATTCGTACATCTTTCTATCAGAATCGAGCAGTATGTCATTCCTACATTAAAATAAAATAAAGTAAAGAAAAGCATTACGTAGGAAAAAAGCTCTAAGTATCTTAAAACAACAAAGTTACTAACCCAACGAGCCGATGAACAAGCTATTTAATCAACGCCTACTATGTCACTCACTCCATTTCCTAATTCAAATAAGTAAAAAAGTATCGATTAGCCCGCGCTATAAGAACTTGGTATGTACACAAAAAGAAAGTAGACTGACGGAGGGAGTCAACTATTCAACGACAAAAAGCATGAGTTGCAGTTAGTCTGCACGTGAAGAGTACAAGCAACAAAGCTTTTACGAGCTCTCGAACTCCTGGTCACGCGAGCTNAAATAAACTAGTCTTCTTGTCAACTTACAATCTGGTTATAAGTATATTCGTATTTCTTAAAAACGGTTTTTTTAGTTTTGCATTTACTCGTTTGATACTTTTTACACAATATGTCAAGTAAACGTTACGTATCTTTAAATTTTACGTTCTAATAATTGACTGAAACTTTCCAAAACCCCATTTTTCAAGTTCTCACGAGAAAACAGTGAATCAATCAAAAAAATTGTAAGAAAATTTTCCTGCCTAAAATGAGCCAAAGTATGAGATAAATGTTTTTTTAACAAAATATGGAGCTTTAAGTTAATTCCTTTAAATCATTGCAATGAAATCAACAGTCGTTTGGATTGAAAACTAAAAAAATTTGTATTCTACCCACAAAATTATTTTTAAAAACTCGTGAATTTTTTTTTTACACTTGTTGCACAGTACTTATCGAAGATATAAAAAATGCACCAGTCTCTTACGAATTAGCCACTATACTTTACAATGGATGCAAAGAAACTGTATTGATTCAAAACAACGATAATTACATTCGAATATTTCAATCATGATTAACTTGTGTTAATTCAACATTCTTAATATGTTCATATTTAACACATTCAATTATTTTTCAGGATGCAGCTGTTTCTGGACTTAATAATGAGTTTTTTGCAAGAGCGTGCCAAGAATGGAGAAAGCGCTTAGCTGAAGGAGAGTTTATGCCAGAAAATCAACAAAAATTGAAAATCGAAGCTGAAAAAGACAAAAACAAATTGGATCCATGGAAGGTAAAACATTTTGAGCCGATTTGGGGAGAAAAACGGGAAATGCATAAATTAAAAATAGGCCTGCACTGTCTTAATAAGGAGCACAGATTTACAATACCACCACGATCAAGTCTAAGATCACAAATTGAATTATCTTTAAATCCAGTATTGGACAATCACCAGTCGTCTCATCCGTCGTTATTGGGTGATAAATATGACCGAGATTCAAATATATTTGCTGAACACAAATCAAGTAAAATGCATTCTAAATTACTGGAAAATGATAGAATCATGCCAAAATATAATGTTAGTGTACGGATATTACATGATGAAGATGGTGATGACGAAAATGAAGACGATGAAGACGAAGATGATGGAGACGATGAAGATGATTATGAAGATGAAGAAGATGAGGAGGAAGAAAATGTAGATGATGAAGATGGAGATGATGAAATTGATTCACATGTTTCCTTAGCTTATCTTAAAGAAGAATCACAGCATTGCAGAGCAATCATTGTTACAAATACTAATAATGAAGACATATTTAGTCGAGAACTATCTTCAGAACTGCCTATAATAGAACAAAAAAAGTATTCAAAAGAAATGGTTTTAGATTTTGTGAACGACAAAAATATAGTTGAAGTTGATTTTAAATTAAAGGAACAGAAGTGCGATAAACGAGGGCGAAACATTGAAAGATGTTCGAAGACATCTCTAAAAGAATTGAAACATTTGACAGCAGATACTTGTAAAAGTATTTCAACGAAAGGTCTTGAAGTCTTTTCGGATAACAATGAAAAAAAAACAGGTTCAATGTCAGAAAAACTTTCTGCCGACCAACAAAATACTAAAACTTATCAGAATGCTATTTCGAAATTAAAATTTTTCATGAAAGATGAATCATTTAGTGGTAATACTACTATAAGTATTAAAACAACAGAAAATGAGGTAATCAAACGTAGTTATTAATATGAAAAAAACTTTTAATTGTTGTTTATGGTCTTATAAAAGAGTTTTATGAGACAATTATAAAAAATTAGGTGTCTCCCACTAAGCGAATAAGTTGCAAAAATTTAACCACTATTATTGATGATTCCAGTGAATATTTATTTTTATCGTACATAGAGCTTAACTACATGTTTCATTGCATACTTTTCTAAACTTCTTGCACGAAAAAAATCACAGAGAAGCATTCTTTAACTTACCTCCAATTTTTTGTGTGCTGAGAAACTTTGCGTAAAAACTTAATATCATCGTTAAAAGTAATCTGAAAAATAACTAGTGAAACAACACTTCTACTACATGATAGTTTTTCTGTAAGTTTTTTTTTGTTTATAATATAAAATACTTGTTTGTTAACGCTTTGAGTCACTGGACTCAATTGGAATACAAGAAGTTTTACAATGAACGTTATGTTTTTTATTTTTCGATTTTTAATACATTGTTCTACTACTAAACTATGTAACTTATTTATGAACGCTCTTCATGATCTCTGTACACAGAATGTTGAAGTGTAGGGGTAAGTGTTAGGGTATTGTTGTGGTTGCTCCAGTCATTGCGGAACTCTCGAATACTGCCTATTTTTCAATAGAACTCATAAGGTATGGTGAGTAAACACTTGAAATCATTAAATAAAGTTATAAATTATTTAATTAATTGGACTTAAGTTACAAAATAGCATTGAAAGTTTGATATTTCCTTAACAAAAAATTACGTTTTTGATTAGTGGTGCATATATAACCTTTTTTATTATGAAGGTATTATTTTGGATACCCTGTTGATTTAGCATTGATATGCTTGATTAACATGAACGTGCACAATACTACATAATACATGTTATACTATATACAAGCCCGCAATAGTACCAGCATAAGCAATTAAACTTTCAATCCTCTTTGGAAGTCAGTATTCATGAGTTGATACTCTTATAAAAGTGGAATTGAGTAGTTTTTAAGTCTGATATAAATTTAAAAAAAAGTACAAAGATTTGACGATTAAGATTTCTTAAACAGACGTTTAAAGCTATCCACAAAAAACTGCAATAATACCTTCATTTACTTCTAAGTTTTTAACTTAACTGTATTTTCTTATCCCCTCGTTGATTATTTTTTTATGTACATCCATTGTTCTGTTTATGTTTCTTAAATATACTGCTCAATTTTAAACCGTCATGTAGTGAAGCCAGCTTTAAGTTAAATAACTAATTCTTGCCAGAAAAATATGAAAAATGTTAACTATATTCTTATCATAGGCACAGAGTGCAAATACCGCTTTGCGCCCTCAGATTACACTTTGCGCCTTTATAATTACTTTAGGCGTATGGCGAACCGTTTCACGTAGCATCTGTTACTGCCATTCAACGCAGTGTCACGTACGAAATACTCGAATATATATGAGATCATTATGAAAAGCTCAATTCTAGGCCGTCAGTATTAAGGATAACATTAGTCGAATAACAGCTTGCTGATTCGTACAGCAGGGCTACCTGGGTGAAGAAAGTATCGTTCCTTCTATGTGGGGGACTCGGTACCTCAGATCAGCTGGTAAGTGGCAGATGCCCTTCGAAGTTACAGGTGGGCTGATTGTGTCTTACATACCCCAACATCTATCATCTAAAGACAAATTTTTTTGGCCTGAAAGTAAACGTATGACACATTATGAAGTCAACGCCCCATAGATAATAGCATGTATATAGTCATACATAATTTACTTTTGTTTATATAAATAAGCATGCTATCTACAGAAGACTTGGATGAAAAATTGTATCAGTTTAATTAGATTTCACTATGTAGTCTTTAAATGTAAGTAGTGTGAGGTGTATATGAATTATTCCATCCATTAAGTGCAAGGTGATTATGAAAGATAAGCTAACGATTAATGTTTTAAGTTTTTTTTGCAGGATACAGTATTTGATTAAAAATGTCTTGTTTAGCTGGCTATTAATTATGTTCAAAAAAAAGTGAGGTGTACTATTTAGACAGGGCGAAATCAGCAATCGACCGCAAAAATTAATTTATCCGCAAATTTTTGCACTATCTTGTTCAAAATGTGCTACTGTGTGGAAAAGTGAAGTTTGTCAAGCGGAAATGTGGTCAGAAATCATTTAAACAAATTATGAAAATTAATTTTTTGAGAAACAAAAATTGCTCCTTTTTCTTTGGCCTATTCCAAACAAATTATTTATTGGGACGTATATACCTATAATTTTTGTTGAATTCTTACAAAGTTTTATTTATGTACAATTATAGTTTCTTGATCCCGAAGAGGCCGTCAGCATGACGGCGAACCATTGGTCATGTGTATTGACGATTACCTAAATAAATAGCCATGCTCCAAAGTATTGAGCTTTAGACCTTAGTTTGGACCTTATTTTCATTTATAGTAACAAAGGAGCAAGTAAAAGGAATGCATTGATATGTATTAATCTTGATAAAAGTTGATGACCGTCATCATTTGCATATAGTCTACATGTTTACATTTTCTCTATAATCAAATTGTGCATGTATTTCATTAAGATAAAAGCGGTTTGTAACTACGTATCAATTTTTATGAACATTCCAGGTGTGAAAAGAATGTTGGAAATAAAATTTGTCCATATAGACGGGGTAAAATTAGCAATCGACCGGAAAAATTGATTCGCCCGCAATTTTTTTGCACCATCTTGTTCAAAATGTGTTACTCTATAGGGAAGTAAAGTTTGTGAAGCAGAAATATGGCCAGAAAATGATTAAACAAATTTTTTAAAACAAACTATTAATAATAATTTTTCGAGAAACAAAAAACTGCTCCTTGTTGTTTGGCCCATTTTGAACAAATAATCATATAATGATGTTTCTTGCCCTCCATTTTTGTATGAATTATTAATTTTTTTAAGTTGATCTTTTGCGGCCAACTTCGAAAATGAAAAACACACACCCCACGTAATTTTTATACACAGCAACGTTTCGTCAACTGGAGTGTTGACGTCTTCAGGCTTTATTAACAAATTCAATAGAAATTCAGTACAAACTAACGAATAATAGACATGAAGTACAAGCGATATTATACCTTAATTACAAACACTCCAGGGAAAGATTTAACGTAACGATGTTCGTTCGCACGCAAGTCAAGTCAGCAAAAATTTCCATATTTCGCAAAGTTGTCAATTTATAGTAGAGCACACATATTTACACAGATATATCATGAGGTCAATGTATCAAACTGATAGACATAGTCAGCAACGTATATGTTTGAAAAAACTTTTATAAGTATGACTCAAAGTGTGTAGGTCCTCTTCCTTATTTATATTATTGTCGTCTGACGCTATATAAAGCATTTCATAAATCAGTCACAAATATGGCTCCTTGTCTATTATTCGATGTCGTCCCATTTGAAAGTATGATAATTGGAAGTTTGATGTACAGATACCACAGATTCAGTTTTATAACTGTTTTTGTGTTCTCTTCTGCTCTCTTTTAGTGCTCTCTTTGTTTCACCTATGAGTCATTGCACGAAACTTTATACCCCACGATAGTATTTTTTAATTTTTTTGTTTTGTCTTTATCTAATTGCACAATGTGACTCAATTTTTTTGTTATTTTTGGAATATTACTCATTTGAAATTTTTGAAAGATAATTCTGTTTTTTCAGAAATGTTAGGGAAATATGACAAACTAATAAAATTGCTGTTATCAAGTGTTGCACGTGTATAATTTAACGATTTTGTATTTTTAATTTTCTTAAGTCTTTTTCTTATATATTTGTTGATAAAATGTGTAAGATATTCATTTTCTTGAAACGTGTGTCTTGTAAGCCTGATATTATTACTATGGAACTAACGATCTGACAGTCTTACGGCCCTATTTACTAAGTTATACATGATATTTATTTTTTGTTGTTTTGTATGGGCTGACGTGAAATTTAAAAGTCTATTTGCAGACGGTTCTTTCTGGAACTATTTCATTTTAAATCTATTGTTTTGTATAAATAGTGTAACATCTCAAAAATTAATCTGGCTATTAGTTTTTATTTAATGAGTAGATTGTAAATGTTTATCAGAATTCTTAAACGTTTGGAGAACAGTTTTAGTAGTGTCTTTTGTTATACAAGCTATTGAGTCATCTACATAAGTAAATAAAAAGAGTAGCTCCATGCCATATTCATTTTTTAGATTTTTCCAACAAAACTCGACACAATCATCGAGCACCAAATTCGCAAAAAGAGGAGAAATCGGAGACCCCATGGGTGTGCCAAATATCTGACGGTACATTTTGTTATTGAAAGTAAAAACTGTATTTTTAAATAAGAATTTGGGTACATTAATAATTTCAGTTAAAGGAATTTTTGAGCCCTGAAAAATATAGTGTGCACGTCTCGAGACTCTTAATTACAAGATCGCGTGGAACTTTTGTGAACAGAAACACAACATCTAACGACACCAACATATAATCTACAGGAATTTGTACTGCTTTAATTCTGTTCATCAAATTTGCACTATTGTTTAAATTGTATTTTGATTTTGGTATGCAGTGTTTTAAATTATCATAAAGTATTTTGGAAAGCTGATACGTTAGACTATTAGTTAAAGAGATAATTGGTCTTAATATAGTACCCTCTTTATGTATTTTTGAGAGGCCGTAAGCCTTCGCCAATTGTGTATCTATTTATGTAATCTGAACATTCTTATATTTGTACTTTGAAAATTCGTTTTCATTTAGATACTGAAATTGTTCATAAACTTCTTTCTGCAATTGTTGTAAAGGATTTCTCTTTATTTGTGCGTATGTGGTGGTATCGCTAAGTAGCTAAGTTATTTTGTCCACAGAATCTTGCCTCTCCATACAAATAGAGACATTAACTTTATCTCCGCTTAAAACAATCAACTATTGGTTATCTTTTAAAAACTGATTTGTCTGTTTTTATTTTATTGATTTAAACTTTGTCTTTTTTCTGTATATGAGCATTGATAC